TTTTAATGTTCGTAGAAAAAGTGAAAAAATGAAATAAATATTAACGCAACAAGAAAACAATAAAAGGAGAGTTACACAATAATTTAAAAACAAGGTTTAGCGCTTAGTTCAGTGGAAGAAACAATGCAAAGAAAGAAATCAAAAAGTGAAGTGAAGCAGAGAGTAGATCTTCTTGCAGAGCGTGAAGTGGCCGCTCCTACACGTCAGGAGCCTCAGGGCCAAGAAGATACTTCCACTGCAAGCCCGTCCACTCCAAATATATGGGATGATGAATTGAGTGAGTCGGAAAGTGGTGGTGTTCCAGATTTCGAAAAATCTGTAGATTTGAGAATTGAGTTAGCCGCATGGTCTGTGCAATTCAATATAACAACGGCGGCTACCAATAGTTTATTCACAATATTGTGCAAACGCGTGGATGGTCTTCCACGGGATTCAAGGACTTTAAAATCCACTCCTAGGAGACCGCCTGTTGAAAATATGGGACTAGGAAAATACATTCACTACGGTGTTGAGGACTTTCTAACTGATTTTTTAATAAACAATAGTTTGATGGAAATCCATCTCAACGTTAATGTTGACGGCCTTCCACTCTCAAAAAGTTCCAATTTGCAGACTTGGCCAATATTAATTAATGTCAATGGAACGCCTAATGTTATGGTTGTAGGAGCTTATTGCGGCAATAGTAAGCCATTATCTCCAAATGATTATTTGGAAAGGTTTGTAAATGAAATACTGGAGTTGTTAGAAAGGGGGTTGGATTACAATGGCAATCATTATTCTATTCATTTTCGTTCATTTATTTGCGATGCGCCAGCAAGGTCCTATATTTTAGGAGTTAAAGGACACACTGGTTTCTCTAGTTGTATCAAATGCACTCAAAGAGGAGAATCCCTTGGGCATAGAATGATTTTTCGTAGTGAAATTCATAGCGCTAGAACAGATTTAAGTTTCCGATCCCGTTCACGGTCAACAATTTGGGTTTAATTTTTAAACCGCGCTGGGACTACTGCCTTTTTTAAACTTTTATAGTATACTTTTTAAACCAGTCAATAGTTTTACGCAATTTTTAATATATTCTGGTTTAAATTTTAGCCCAAAAAGTTCGTGGTTTAAAAATCAAACCAAAATGTTTTAATTCTAGTTTCTAGGTTTCAAATATAGAAACTTTGGTTTAAAATCTAAACCGAAATAGAATATGTTTGCACAGCGAATTGTGGTGTTGATTCAAACTCAACATATGAAAGCACATTTACATGCGTGGCTGTAGCTGAGTGTGCAAAGATGCTTGATACAATTGGTTGCTACCAAGGCTGTCCGGGTTCAATCCCAACCAGACGGAGCATGGAAATTTAAGATTGTTTTTTTTTTTTATTCTTAATTATGAAAATGTTTGGGTTTAACATTTAAACCGAATTGTTTAAATTCTAAACCCAACATATGTGCTCTCTTTTTTTTAAACTTGGAAGGTTTGTATTTGAAACTGAATTTAGTTTGGTCATATATGTAGTCCAAAAAGTTTAAAATTAAAACCGAAATTTTTAACCGTGTTTGGACGTAAATCATCACAAACTGATCGAGTCAACAGCTATCGAAAAACTGCCCATCGACATAGTAAACTCTTTTCCTTATGATTACATGCATGTTGTATGCCCTGGTGTAACCAAATCTTTGCTTCTTGGATGGGTTAGGCAGAGAAATAAAACTTATTCTTTGAAATCCTCGACTATAAGTTTGTTGAACTCTCGATTACTGTTTCTAAGTAATCAGGTTCCAAAAGAATTTGCTCGTCATCCACGTGGCCTGAGCGATATTGAAATGTTTAAGGCTACTGAACTAAGGACATTTCTGGTATATACACGGTCAACAATTCGGGTTTAATTTTTAAACCGCGCTGGGACTACTGCCTTTTTTAAACTTTTATAGTATACTTTTTAAACCAGTCAATAGTTTTACGCAATTTTTAATATATTCTGGTTTAAATTTTAGCCCAAAAAGTTCGTGGTTTAAAAATCAAACCAAAATGTTTTAATTCTAGTTTCTAGGTTTCAAATATAGAAACTTTGGTTTAAAATCTAAACCGAAATAGAATATGTTTGCACAGCGAATTGTGGTGTTGATTCAAACTCAACATATGAAAGCACATTTACATGCGTGGCTGTAGCTGAGTGTGCAAAGATGCTTGATACAATTGGTTGCTACCAAGGCTGTCCGGGTTCAATCCCAACCAGACGGAGCATGAAATTTAAGATTGTTTTTTTTTTTTTTTTTCTTAATTATGAAAATGTTTGGGTTTAACATTTAAACCGAATTGTTTAAATTCTAAACCCAACATATGTGCTCTCTTTTTTTTAAACTTGGAAGGTTTGTATTTGAAACTGAATTTAGTTTGGTCATATATGTAGTCCAAAAAGTTTAAAATTAAAACCGAAATTTTTAACCGTGTTTGGACGTAAATCATCACAAACTGATCGAGTCAACAGCTATCGAAAAACTGCCCATCGACATAGTAAACTCTTTTCCTTATGATTACATGCATGTTGTATGCCCTGGTGTAACCAAATCTTTGCTTCTTGGATGGGTTAGGCAGAGAAATAAAACTTATTCTTTGAAATCCTCGACTATAAGTTTGTTGAACTCTCGATTACTGTTTCTAAGTAATCAGGTTCCAAAAGAATTTGCTCGTCATCCACGTGGCCTGAGCGATATTGAAATGTTTAAGGCTACTGAACTAAGGACATTTCTGGTATATACACGGTCAACAATTCGGGTTTAATTTTTAAACCGCGCTGGGACTACTGCCTTTTTTAAACTTTTATAGTCTACTTTTTAAACCAGTCAATAGTTTTACGCAATTTTTAATATATTCTGGTTTAAATTTTAGCCCAAAAAGTTCGTGGTTTAAAAATCAAACCAAAATGTTTTAATTCTAGTTTCTAGGTTTCAAATATAGAAACTTTGGTTTAAAATCTAAACCGAAATAGAATATGTTTGCACAGCGAATTGTGGTGTTGATTCAAACTCAACATATGAAAGCACATTTACATGCGTGGCTGTAGCTGAGTGTGCAAAGATGCTTGATACAATTGGTTGCTACCAAGGCTGTCCGGGTTCAATCCCAACCAGACGGAGCATGAAATTTAAGATTGTTTTTTTTTTTTATTCTTAATTATGAAAATGTTTGGGTTTAACATTTAAACCGAATTGTTTAAATTCTCTCTCTGTGCTCTCTTTTTTTTAAACTTGGAAGGTTTGTATTTGAAACTGAATTTAGTTTGGTCATATATGTAGTCCAAAAAGTTTAAAATTAAAACCGAAATTTTTAACCGTGTACAGGAATTTTCACTTTAGCTGAAGTTCTAGATGTAGAAAGATATACGCATTTCTTAATGCTAAGCTTGGGTATAAGAATATTATTGAATAAAAAGTCCTGTAAGGAAAACAGTGAGTGCTCAAAAATACTCTTGACTGAATTCGTTAAAAAAGTTCCAAATTTTTATGATGATTCTCTTTTAACATTCAACTATCACTGCCTTACTCACTTGCATAGTGATGCATTGAACCATGGCTGCTTAGAATCTGTAAGTGCGTTCAAATTCGAAAACTTTTTGTCGAAACTTAAACGGAAATGCAATAAAAAAAATCACATTGCTGCACAAATATATAACCACTTGGTTGAGGAAAGTTTATATTCCTCTCAATATTCTGCAGCAAAAATTACAAATTAAAAAGCAGAAGAAAATGGACCAGTGAAGTCAATAAATACAGAATTCTTTTACTTATCCATTAAACGTCCAGATAATTTTTATAGCGTGCAAAATAAAATATTTATTCTCAAAGGCATTTCAAAAAAAGACAGTGCTTTTGAAATTATTTCCAGAGAAGTTATAAACTTAACCGACTTTTTTACAATTCCTATAAAATCATCCCATTTTAATATAAAATGTTGCGCCACATTGCAGTTTTCTGATTGTCAATTTCAGCATTCATTAGAAGAAATATCTCAGAAAATCATTGTCTTTAATAATTTCGAATGTAATAAATATATACATATTTGTACCTTTCATCCATATGTAGATGGATTTAAACAGCACTTTTCTTAGTTCGACAATAGTACCAGCAGAAGAGCTGATAGCTATAAAAGGTAGGTTTTATTTATTATTTGATAAAGATATACATATCTAATCATGGGCGTAGCCAGGTAGGGCCAGGGGGTGCTCGAGCCCCCCCCCCCCTAAATTTCATTCTGGCTACGCCGATGTATCTAATGATATTATTTTTAGTCTTTCAGATTTAGATGAGTTACACCAAAAAATTGATCAATTTCAAGAAAATGTTTTGAAAGGTAAAATTATTGTAGTGTTTACGTTATTGGACTTTTGACTAAACAATCGGGGCTACCACCAAATCCATCGTATTGCGATTTTCTCGAATTGCTACCAACGTTCGCATTCAAAGCAGTGCCCGCCAAACACTTTCCGGGGAAACGAACTATATTCGGCCTTTCACATGTACACAATCGGCTTCTTACACGTACACAATCCGAACGTCAACAGAAAGAGTAGAAGAGCAACAAATTTTATTTAGTTGCATCTCAGTATATCCAGTAAAAAAACTGTGGTGAAGTCCTTTATGGGGATAAAGTTTCCAGAGGTGAAATTTTAGGTAGCACACAATTTCTTACACGCATGGTTGCTTTTCAGCACTCATGAAAGAAACTTAAGAAATATTTGAAAAAAAAGTTCATATAGTACATTAATTTTGAAAGAAATACCATATAATGTATGTACTCTGGTTAATAATATCAAAAAATGTATTAGAACCACCGTTTAATGTTATATTTGATACAAATTAATATTGCTGCCCCGAACGCTCTGCGCCTTGCCACTGAATAATAGGTTTACTTAAAATTACATCCCTGGTCCTTGTTCTTTCTGTATCGCATCGTGGTGAATTCACATTTCTCAGAAATTTGACAACAAAACAAAACAAAGCGAGTATTTTATTTGCTAATTTTTGCGATTTCTATTGTTTAATGTAAATTCGTCTTTTTAGGATATGTCGAGCCAACAAAGAAAGCGCAGTTGGAAAATTGAGTAATTAGTAATGAAGTAGCAAGCATATTTGGAAAATTATGCCGATAAGCAGGATGGAATTTGGGAAAGTAAGTGCATGGTTGCAGCATATCTATGTATAAAAAGTATTTAATTAAATTGTTTATAGAAATGTTATAAATCGAGTGGCTCATTTACGATGCGCTCCAAACATTTGGCGAACTTTTTTTCGCCTTTTCAACGTGCTAAGTAACAAGTTAAGATGACTGCCATCACGGCCGGTAAGAAACCGCAAGCAAAGGGCAGACAACCTTCCAGGAAGCTGCCTCCTGTCCCCGAGCCGAAGCTGCAGTTCAGCTAGAGCAGGTCAGCAAATTGCTACCCTGATCAAACGTAAACTAAAGCGCTCTGCTGTGATTGCACTCCGTAAATGTGAAAACTTGGTGCATGCTGAGAA